AATTGTCGTGTTCTTGAGCGTTTACTAGTTCACTCATATCTACTCTTTGTGAGAGTTTTATTCCTGAGTGTTTAAGTGTTTTCATACACTTTAAGGGAGGTTTTTCCCTTGTTGTAAACTCGAAGGAAGTTTCTTGTTCCTTCGTGAGAAGTCTTGGAGTGTGGTATCTCCGAGCAAAGGTGTTGAGGCTCGTGTGACTCGGGTTCTCAAGTTGTATCGGTTTGTTAAGCACCCTTAAGCTTAATGGAGTTAGTGTAGCTCGAGAGAGTCTCTCAGGGGGCTGGATTAGCCACACGTTGTGGTGAACCAGGATAAAATCCGGTGTGTTCCTTCCTTACGCTCTTGACTTCAACGCTCTCGTTTTAATTTCTTGCGATTTTGTTTTAAACGCTATTCACCCCCCCTCTAGCGTTGGGCCTTTATTCTAACAGTACCTTCTACCATACGAATGGTACTATGATACTGTGACAAGAGTACCTTGCTACTGTAACCGTTGGAAGAAAATTCAAATCTCGGATTTTTAATTTTATACATTTAATTGGTCAAAACCTATCCTAATCACCCTCCAACGGCCCACTTATTTTTTCTACTACAAATACAAGCATAATCCTTCATTTTCTAGCAGGAAACAAAGCTCCAAACATTCTCTCTTTATATTTTTAGTGTGTTCATTCTTTTATTATTTATTTTCAATATTTTGTCTATTTTAAGAGCCTTAAACTTTTGATTTTTTACACACACTTTGAGCTTGTTTTTCTAGTTATATACTCTCATATTCATGAGTTTATATTAGTATTGTGGAGAGAGTATAATTTCCTTCTACACCGGCTAAGTTTTCTTCTTCATTTTTATATTCAAGTCGTTGTGTAGAACCTTTGATTGTGTTCTCCAAACACATCTTTTTACTATCGAGAGTAGCCGTTAAATTCTCACGTTGTAACGGTTAAGGATAGCCGTATAAATTCTTCGATAAAGGTTACGGATAGCTTTTGAAATCCATAGGGGGAACGGTCGAAGATAACCGTGTAATCTTCATTGAAAATGGTTCGAGATAGCCGTTGTGAAATTTTGGAGTGAATCTTATTGGCAAGAGTTGTTTGCCAAACTAGTGCGGTGCTATGACAGAGTTCAAGATGCCGAGACTTAGTGGATTAAGAAATCCTTGAGGAGGAGCCTCGAGGTACTGGAGTAGGGAGTTCCCGAACCAGTATAAAATCGGTATGCATTTAGTTTACGCTTTTATTTCTACTATTTATATATTGCTTCCGCATTTGCCAACACTGTTTTTATTAAACTCCGAAAAGTTTTCAAACGCCTTATTTACCCTCCCCCCTCTAAGGTGTGGGCACAACGACTAACAAGTGGTATCGGAGCGGTTTCGTAGTTGAAAGTGCTTAACCGCATCTACGACAAAGATCTACTTGTTGTTCCAGTTTTAAAATTGATTTTTTTAAATTTAAACTTATATAATCTCAAAAGTCTATTAGCCCTTATTCTAGAAATTTAATATTTTTTGAAAAATAGCCTAAATGGAACCCCAAAGCATTCACCGTCCTTCGTTTTTTATTGGCCAAAACTATTTTTACTGGAAAATGCGTATGGAATACTTTATTCAATCAATTGATTTTGATTTGTGGTTGAATGTACTTCACGAGCCATTTGTGCCGAGAAACGGTGATTTTGCAGGACTATCCTCGAAGGACAAGAGAAAACTGTCCATGAATGCAAAGGCGATGAACACCCTTCATTGCTCCCTTGGACCGAATGAGTTTGCACGTGTGTGCTCGTGCAAAACGGCCAAGGAGGTATGAGATTTGCTTCAAGCCACGCATGAAGGCAATACCTCGACGAAGAAAACCATGTTGGCCCTTGGAAACTCAGAGTATGAAAGTTTCAAGGTTGGCCAACACGAGTCAATCAGAGATGCCAATAAAAGGTTCAATGAAATAATCAACAAGATGGGTAAGTTGGGTAAGGAATATTCTACAAGTGAATTAAATACTAAAATTTTAATTTCTTTGCCAAAAGAATGGCATAATAGTATTATAGATTTTTTACCCAAATGTGCAACGGAAAGCACCGCCCACATTCGGTCTTCATTGTATTTTCATGAGTTTTTGATGATTAAGATGAAAGAAGAATATTTGAGAGAAGACCTGAAACGAACCAATGGATTCAAGGCATCCAAGGAGGAGTCTAGTGATGACTCAAGTGACTCAAGTGATGAGTCAAGTGAAATGGATGAAACATCTGATGACTCTAATACGTCAAGTGATGAAGAAGATGAAGAAAGAGTAATGAGAAAGAAATACAAAAGTTTTCTCCAATGGAAATTTTATGAAGACTCAAGAAGGAGAAAATCAAAAGAGAAAGAAACATATTCAAACCTGAAGAAATAGCAGCATAAGCTAAGGTAAGTCTTTTTCTTTCTTATTGGGACAAGATATTTTGTTTGATTAAAAAAACCTTATCCCATATGTGCTTACATTTATTTTAGCCTTCGTTTGCTTGACCAAATAATTTTTTAAAATTGATTTTAAATCATGCCTTTTCTAAAATTACCCTCCAAAATCCTTGAAAATAAAGTTTAAAACTTGCATCATTTTAGGGGAATTTCTTATTTTAGGGGGAGTTTTATTGTAAATGCACCGTTTTTTTGTTAATGATCTCCAAACTATCATTTTTCCTAAGAATTCATTTTGATAGGGGAGTGTTTTCAAAAAGTTATCCATGCTTTAAGAAATTTTTCAAATTCCCTTTTAGATGTTGACAAAAGGGAGAAAAACATGTATACTTCAAAGTGGTGCATTGCAACATGACTTAAGTACATTCTTGTGTAACTATTTGCATCAAATTTAAACTTTTAATAAACATAAGAAAGGTTAAAAGTGAGTATTTTCAATATGCTGATTCTTAGGGGGAGCTTGTGTGCTTAATTATTTTTACTCTCGCCTAACTCACTTTGAAGTATATTGTTTGTCAAAATCAAAAAGGAGGAGATTGTTAGGCTTGGTTTGCTAAGCCTCGTGTCTTGATGTTAACAAACAATATAAGAGCTAAGCGTTTCTTTAAGTGTTTCAGGTACAACAAGAATCCATTAGGATTCATTCTCAAGAATAAAGTCAAAACACTAAACTAGCGTAGAATATACGTAGAACCAATGTAAGGATACCATTTTATATACCCATATTTACAAGCTCAAGTGCATGCACAAAAAATATTTAAAACATCCAATAAACATTGACAAACATCAAAAAGGTTTTAAACTCAAACGTAAAGGATTAAAGAAATTTTGGAAAACCCAGGATAGTGCCACGGTACCCCACGTACCCTAAATCGTCCTCACTGTAGGGTATACCGACGACACAGTATCATGGTACCGTTAGAGGCTAGGTACCGTCAGAGCTGGATTGATTTTTAAAAGGTACACGGTACCTAGATACCGCTTGTCACGGTACCCCCTACCGTGACAACGGTACCTTGCTACCGTGACCGTTGGAAGAAAATTCAAATCTCGGATTTTTAATTTTATACATTTAATTGCTCAAAACCTATCCCAATCACCCTCCAACGGCTCCCTTATTTTTTCTACTACAAATACAAGCCTAATCCTTCATTTTCTAGGAGGAAACAAGCTTCCAACATCCTCTCTTTATATTTTTAGTGTGTTCATTCTTTTATTATTTATTTTCAATATTTTGGCTATTTTAAGAGCCTTAAACTTTTGATTTTTTACACACACTTTGAGCTTGTGTTTCTAGTTATATAATCTCATATTCATGAGTTCATATTGTATTTTGGAGAGTGTATAATTTCCTTCTACACCAGCTAAGTTTTCTTCTTCATGTTTATATTCAAGTCGTTGTGTAGAACCGTTGATTGTGTTCTCCAAACACACCTTTTAACGATCGAGAATGGTGTCATTGTGCCCACGCCTTAGAGGGGTGGGGGGTGAATAAGGCGTTTAAAAACTTTTCGGAGTTAAGTAAAAATGGTGTTGGCAAATGCGGAAGCAATATATAAAACGCAGAAATAAAAGCGTAAATAAAATGCACACCAATTTTATACTGGTTCGGGAACTCCCTACTCCAGTACCTCAAGGCTCCTCCTCAAGGATTTCCGAATCCACTAAGTCTCGGTCTCTTGAACTCCGTCAAAGCACCGCACTAGTTTGGCAAACAACCCTTGCCAATAGGATTCACTCCGAGATTTCACCACGGCTATCTCGAACCGTTTACAACGAAGATTTAACGGCTATCTTCTACCGTTCCCCCAAGGATTTCAAAGGCTATCCTTGAACCTTTACCCAAGGATTTATACGGCTATCCTCAACCGATACAATATGAGAATTTAACGGCTATTCTCGACCGTAAGAAGGTGTGTTTGAAGAACACAAAAGAGGATTCTACACAACAGCTAGAATATAAAAATGAAGAACAAAACTTAGCCGGTGTAGAAGGAAATTATACTCTCTCAAAAATACAATATAAACTTATGAATATGAGAGTATATAACTAGAAACACAAGCTCAAAGTGTGTGTATAAAATTCAGGAATTTAAGGCTCTTGAAATAGCCAAAATATTGAAAATAATTAATAAAAGGATGAACACACTTAGAATATAAAGAGAGGATGTTTAGAGCTTTGTTTCTTGAAGAAATATGAAGGATTAGGCTTGTATTTATAGTGGAAGATGTNGGTACCCTTCACGGTAGGGGGGTCCGTGTCATCCGGTACCTAGGTACCGTGACACGGTATAGCCTACCGTTTGGGGGTACCGTGTCTTCCAAAAGTTCGGTTTGCCTCTGGCGGTACCTGGTTAGGACGGGTTCGGCCAACCGTCTACGCCTACCGTCGGTACCTAGGTACCGTTACACGGTATGGGGGTACCGTGTAGGCGGTATACCCTACCGTGTGGCGTACCGCTAGAGGTACCGTGACTCTGTTCTGATTTTTCAAAAATTCCCTTAATCCTTCGTGTTTGAGTTTAAAACCTTTTAGATATTTTGAAAGTGTTTATGTGATGGTTTTAAACATATTTTGTGAGTGCTTTTGAGCTTGTGAATATAGGTATATAAAGTCATATCCTTACATTGGTTTCTACCTATATTCTACGCTAGTTTTAGTGTTTCGACTTCATTCTTGAGTACCGAATCTTAATGGATTCTTGTTTTCCTGAAACACTTAAACAAACGTTAAGCTCTTATATTGTTTGTTAACATCAAAACATGAGACTTAGCAAACCAAGGCTAACATACGGGATCCATAAACTGTCGTTCCGAAGGGGACATAGGTACCACCCACCTAGGCCTGGACACGGTACCGGTGGGGTACCGTCACCAGGAACGGTACCTCCGGTACCGAGCACCATAATGGCAACCGGGACGGCGAAATGGTTCCGAGAACCGGTACCGGTTCCGGTACCGGTTTATTTTTTTTCTTTTTTTGTTCCTGTTTTGCTCTCCAACGGAAACCTACACTGCCAAACCTGCAAAAAAAAAAGGTTTTGCCAGAATAGTCGGTGGCCTTCTTGCAAAGAAAGGGAAGCGTGCCCAGTCTTCGACGAGTTCAAGTGGTACAACAGTAAGCTCGCCTAACGAACTTGCTATGTACCAGGGTGTGCCATGCGATTACAATGACGACGACGTCGATTTTGACGTGCTCGGATGGTGGAAGCGGAACGAACACATGTTCCCATGTCTCGGCATGCTAGCAAGACAAGTGTTGTCCGTCCCGGTATCAACCGTAGAAGTTGAACGAGAATTCAGTGTTGGCGGCAACATTCTAACCGACTACCGAAGTTGTCTTAACGCTGAATCTCTTGAAACACTGGTTTGCAACCAAGATTGGCTCTTGGCAAGATGTCGAGCTCAAGAGTCATCGTACCAACTCGAATCGGAGTATTACATGAATGCAACCACAGATGGAAGTCCGAGTTCTGAAGAATAAGTTATAAATTTTTTTTATGTTAATGTAAATATGTAATTAGTTTTTTTAGGTGAGCGATATATAAGCTCCTTCGAGGGTTTCTTTACGGTTCTTTACCTCGTCGCTTTTTTTGAACCGTCAGGATATTAAATGTGGTTATTCTTCAGTTAGTGTATTACTCATTTTCAATATTTAAATAACAACTACATTTTTAGATTTTTTATTTCATTCTTTCCTTAAACAATTGCAAATTTACAATTTTATACTTTAAAATTTTTAAAAAAAGCAAAAAAAAATAGGGGGGGCCAAAACCGGCCAGTCCAGTACCGGAACCGCCGGTCCGGGAACCGGAACCGGTACCAGTCGGTCCGGTCACGGTACCGGTGCCATGGGGTGGCGGTACCGGAACCGGCAGTTCTGGAACTGTCCTGGAACCGTACCATGTCCACCCCTACACCCACCTAGCGGAGAACTCCTTCGTTGGCCATCAAGTTGTGTTGTGTCATAAGGTGTTGAATAAGGTAGACTTGATTCATGGCCGTAGGTAGTGGCTCTATGTCCGAAGATAAGGTTGTGAATAAGGAAGTATGGTCTTAGCCTAGTGTTTATATTATGAGCTATTAATAAATGCGAATAATGTAATGATTTGTGACTTGTGAATTTATGTAATGACTGTTATGTGATGTTATTAATGTTATGCTTCTATGCATGATATTGTATGGAATTATGAGCTAGTGGGTTCATCTATGTGCATAGTCGAAATGTCAGATATTTCTCACTTAGCTTCAATGTTGAGCGTGTAGCCCTTTTTTCTGTTTGCTACACATAGGTAACATGAATGATGAATAAGGAAATAATCTGAAAGGCAGCGAGGACGAGAAGATAGATGGATTCCGAATGGAGGAGTTATCTAGTTTAATTATTTCATTTAAATTTATTATGTTTTAAGGGCAAGAAACCCAAGTTAAATTTTGAATTAAACTTCCGCACCGTTTTGATTAACTCCGATGAATGTTTTAAATAATGTTTTGAATTAAATATTTTAAATTCTTTTGAAAATTATTGTGTTTGGATGCAAATTTAGTAGCAACCCGGTTCAACCCGAAAACCGGATTAGTAGTTAGCAATAGTATTAATAAAAATAAATATGATATTTATTTATTCAAAAATATAAACTATTTGTAAAGTTGGTTGTTTTATGTGAAAATTAGATTTTCGGGTAGATCTCGTAAAATACTGACCAACGACATATAGTTTGTTAAATTTAGATTTATGTATGGAGCGTGATGAATAAAATAGATGTTGCAGTTCAATAAATAAATAAAAAGATTTTTATTTATAATGCAATAAAATATATACATATATTACCTAAACTAATCCTAGATCTACCCACGCACCACAAAACCCCATTCCCCAAACCCTTCCCCCAATATATAACTAAGGAGTACTATTGGAAAATAAATTAGGAAACGGCTATATGGAAGATTACGAAAGAAGCCGCATACTGGGAGAAGCTGCAACCGGTTCAACGCCTAGGGCAGTAATGGATAACCAAAAAATAGATTATTGTCCTCTGTATCCATTTATATAGAAAATATCTGCATCCGTTAAAAGCGGTTATTATCCGTATCCGATTGGTAAACAGATACGGATTTGGTATTCATATATCCGTTCCGTTTATAATCCGCTCCGCATAGATATCCGTTTAAGTAACCGTTTATCCATATATTTGATCTATTAGATAAAATTTTTCCTAATTTTTTATTATTATATTTTGTTTTTCTATTGACATCTCAAAGTATAAGACATTTCTATATGCAAAATATATGTGCACGCACATCAAAATATGTCTAGATACATAAAAATATGTGTGTATGTGTATTGTGTATATATTTTTACCATACGCAGTTGTCGTAGAATACTATAATTTAAAAAAAATAAGAAAAAACCGCTCCGTAACAAATTAACATTGAATAAATAATATTTTGACTTTAGTTTAACTGGAGATTAAAGTATTTTTCAATTTCACTTAAAAAATTGGAAACGGATACGGATTATCTGATATTCGACCGATATCCGATGGATGCGGATACGGTTTTGATTTTGAGTATATGTCAAGATCCATTTCCAAATTTGATATCCGATTAAAATAAATGGATACGGATCTTGTAATGGCACATCTGATATGATTAATATTTGTTTATGTTGACTCCATTCATTAATTTGATTTGCTCTTGCTATTTGTTTGTTGATCTGACCATCAAGGTGAGTACATGGACATCTAACGCTATATTACGTATATAGGTTTGAAATTCACGTTTGTAGTATCGTATAATTGATTACATGGTTTATTTTGTTATAATTGAATTATGATTTATTTATATTATCTGATATTACTAGAATTGATTGTACGAGAATGACCAAGTTTGTTTTATTACTTTGAATTGGGTGATTTGCGTGATATTAACCTTTAAAAACATTATATGGAAATTGATCGAACTTTGGTGTTCCGAAGCGTTCCCAATGTTAGACGGTAGCTAGGTACCGCCACAGACTGAGTTGCGCTGGCGGTAGGTGTGCCTGGCCGGTAGGACAGTACCGTACCAATGGTACCAAGGTACCATCACAGGCAGTACCAAGGTACCATGACAGGCGGTACCAAGGTACCATGACAGGTACCGTAGAGGCAGTTACAAATCCCTGTTATTTGTTTGTCTGTCTGGATTTGGAACCCAAATTCATTTCGGGACCTTATGTGTTGCATGACGGTAATTAGAAAGTGTTTACATAGGACACTAGGCCGCTAATTGAGTTGCATGATTGATTACCTGATTATTGTGTCCTTGTGATAATTAAATATAATCATGTTGTGTTTTGGGAGTAAATAATGAATTGAGATTGTTATTGGGATAAGTCTGAATGGTAGAGATGTTGTGAATAAATGAGTAGGCTATCTAGATAAACTCTAGGAGTGCTTTGGTAAGATTATTAGTGTAAATGTCAATAGGTAGAATCGGCCTTGCGGATCTGATATCTAATGGCTGCGGATTAAAACATACGTACAGGATCCACAAACTGTCATTCTGAAGCACACAGGGGTACCACCCGCCCACAAGAGAACTCCTTCATTGGTCATCAGGTTGTCGTATGTCATAAGGTGTTGAATTACGTAAACTTGAGTCATGGCCGTAGGTAGTGGCTCTATGTTCGAAGATAAGAATGTGAATAAGGAAGTATGGTCTTAGCCTAGTGTTTATATTATGAGCTATTAATAAAGGCGAATAAGGTAATGATTTGTGACTTGAATTTTTGTAATGAGTGTTATGTGATGTTATTAATGTTATACTTGTGTGCATGATACTGTACGCAATTATGAGCTAGTGGGTTTGTCTATGTGCGTAGTCGAAAAGTTATATATTTCTCACTTAGCTTCAATGCTGAGGGTGAAGCCCTTTTTCCTGTTTGCTACACGTAGATAACATGGATGATGAATAAGAAAATAATCTGAAGAGCAGTGAGGACGAAACGATGGATGGATGCTGGCTGGAGGAGTGATCTACTTTAATTATTGAATTTAAATTTAGAGTAAATTCCATAAATTGTCCTTTATAACAGAGGGATTTCCCTATTTAGTCCTCTATTATCAAATATTACCTCAGTGGTCTTTCTTTTATGGGTATCTTTCCACAAATAGTCCTTTTTTGATCTTCTATCATGTTGGTGTTAATTTGAGGGCTAAAAGTGTAATTTCACAATGATAATATATCTTTTTTGTCATACACAATTCCAAAGACTGTTCCGTTTGCGTCGTTTGTGAATTACAGTCACTTTCTACCACAATCATATTTTACAAATGTCGTCTTTTGTCGGAATCTCAGCCCACAATCATAGTCATTATTTTTATGTTATCTGCTTAACCAATATCAGAACACGTCACTAGACATAATGTTGATGTCAAATTATACTTTTAGTCTTTAAATTAACACCAACATGATAGAAGATAAAAAAGGATCATTTGTGCAAAGGCACCCTTAAAAAAAGACTACAAGGATAATATTTGATAATAAGGACTAAATATGGAAACCCCCATGTTATAAAGGACCAATTATAGAATTTACTCTTAAATTTATTATGATTTGAACGACAAGAACCCCAAGTTGTATTTTGAATTAAGTTTCTGCACCATTTTGATTAACTCCGATGAATGTTTTAAATAATGTTTTAAGTTAAATGTTTTAATTTTTTTT